TCTAGTTTCTCTGGTTCTACATGGTTTGTCTGGTTCTGGTTGCTCTGGTTCCTGGACCCGCAACACTTATCTTTTTTTCCCAAAAGTCCATGTTGGCTCGTATGGCTGCAACTAACACTTATTAATATCCATTAATCTGCTGACTTTATTCACAGCTAATCACCCGGTAGATACAAACTCAGAAAACTGTTTCAAGCTGTCGTCTTCAAACGGTCCAAAACCCAAATAAATATAAATAATAATGATACAAAGCAAATCCTCACACTGGAGCAGCTGGAACCAGAGACTGTTTTTACTTATTACCAGTAGAATCCACTGCAGATCTTAAAAGCGTTACTTCCTGTCGTACCTGAGGACGCACTCCGTCCTCAGGGGTAAACCGGTGATCGGGCAGACGTCCCTCATCTCTCTCCTCCACTTGTTCACATCCTGTCCGGTGGCGGTCCTGAAGTGCATCTTCTTCCAGTGACCCGCCGACCAACGTTCCACCGGCACCGAGTCGACCTCCAGCACCGCGTCACCCGCCGCCGGCTGTGGCCTCCATGTTGGATTCCCAAAATCTGACATGTAAATCTTATGCCATATGACACTACAGGGAAGAAACGTAAGAAATCGACTTCATAAAAAAAAAGCCTAATGCCGTGTTCACACCAAACGCGGCCGAGGCGTGACGCTGTGTCTTTACATCCTGTCAGCGTTGAGATGCTCCTCCTGTCATCGCTGACGTTGTTGAATCAGGAAGTAAATCCTGTCGCCGTGGATGTTCACCCAGAGCTCTACGACGCCTCACCTCACTACAGAGATCAAACTGTGTGTGAACGTACGTGAATAAACCAGAAGCTGCACACAATGAATAGACGCTGCAGTATTAACGTCTAGATGACGTTATGTTGAGTGTTGATGGAGCTGCTACAGTGTTAGCTTAGCATAGCACCGATCGATCCCAGCTCCATTCAGAAGACAAGCATTTTAAAAGTGATTCGTTTGTCGTCTTGTGGAGAAAACTAACAAAACATGAATTCAGACTTTTTACAACTCGGCATCATTACGTAGATATTTCTGCTTCACACAGTGAATACAGCTCGATGAAATGTTAAATGCTAAAAAAACAAATACAAGCATTGCGCAAGCCAGCTATGACTTTTGATTAAAATGCGTTGCTATTAAATGGAATAATGTGTGAACTGTGTCGGACTTACTCATCGTAGGCGAGCTGGTGGAAGGTTTTGCTGACGTGGCTGATGCAGGACAGCGAGGAGGCGTCCAGGTACGACAGAATCTTTAGTAGCATCTCAGACGGTAGCCTGCAGAGAACGTAACCAGGTGTTTATTGAAGAACAGGTGAGAATGAACGGGTAGAAACATCCCTGGACAGGTAGCCAGCATGCTACAGGGAGCTTAGCTAGCTCTCATCTGTATAAAGTAATACTGAACGAAATGATGTTATTATTTCAATTCAGTCAAACTCCCCGAAAATAGACCTGTGATTAAAAGATGTTTAATAGACCGAGAAAAATCATTGGAGAGAGGAGGAGGAGGAGAACCTCCGTTGGTTAGCCGTTAGCGGTGCTGCTAACGTTACTAGCTCTCCTCCT